ATCAGTATCAGGTTACTTGATTAATCTATAGGTATAGGTATAATATGCACTTTGTGGAATGTGCAATAAACGTGTTCAATATACAGAGAAGGTCAAGAATAACCATAAGATTGAAACGATTATTGCCAGAAAGTTATAGCTATTTACCTAATGATTATATGCAAATTGGAAAACATATTTATTTCTAATATATATTACATTCGAACAATATCTCGTTTTTATCAATTGTGCATGGAGCATGCTTTTTTGCATTCATTGAGTGAATATTTTATGTAAATTTCACGAGTAAATGTGAATTACCGGAATCCTTCAAGGATTCTAGAACTTCCAAGGCTATTTTTGGCACTGAAACGTTCATTATCACGTGACTAGTACAATAATGATTGGCATCATACACCATGGTGAAATATGCATAAATTAATGTGATTTTCTTTCACACCTGACTAAATATAAATTGTTTTTTCTCATATTAACACTGTGAAAACTTGCAAAAACTTCGCAAAATTTAGTAACGAAATAGCTATTTGTATAACAAGGGAGGAAAGTACTACTTTACCTCCCGAGGTTGAGGCCTAGACGCGTAGCGAAGGACAGTAATCCACCTTCCTCAAATAACAAGACATTTTTGAATTATTTGTTTATGGAACTAACGAACCAAATTTATTAAACTAGAACTGAGAATTAGATGTTCATTTTAATTTATAGATTCTATATTTTCATTCTTGTCTCCTACATATTTTTAATTTGTGGTAGAGTAATTGAAACAGATACAGGGTGATCCGAATTCTGAATTTTGAACCACCCTGCATTTATTCCAATTGAATGTCAGTATAGAATAGTATAGATAGTAAATCAAAAGTTGGGTAAGGTTTTGACCAATAATCAATAAATTCGACACAAAAAATTCTTAATAGAAAAAATCTCGATTTTGAACACCCTATATATCTCTGTAATCATTTCTGATAGACCCCAAGTCTTTTGAATTGATGGAAACAGCTCTTCAAGGAGAATCTAAAAATGCAATAATGTTCAGGGTATTCCACTTAAAAAATAGAAATCTTGAGACATTTCTTGAAAATATTTTTAAAATGTAGCGCTGACAGGTCCCTATTAATCCGAAAAAACAACTGTCAAAAAAACCAAATGCTTTAGCGACAATGCTTCGTGTCTAATAACGTGAATAACCCTGTATAATAGAATATAGTTTAAGTCGTCAATGCCGTATGAGTTATTTCATTGATGACGTATCATGACGTCAATATCACTTTTTCTCCCTAGGGAGGAAAAGTACTTTTCCACCCTAGGAAATGTACGACTTTGCTGCCTAGGCAGGAAATGCACGACTTTGCTGCCTAGGCAGGAAATGCACGTCTTTGCTACCTACAATGAGGCCAGGAAATGTATAGTTTGGATAGCATTTTTCCGGCGTAGTCCGGGAAGTATCACATCGTTGATGTCACTGTAACTATGCATATGATAATTACCATAGCAGCGAAATATTGGCTGACAGCTATTTGACATGAAATTATGAGACATTTTGATTTTTGAAAGTTTGGTTTCAATTATCGCAATAAACTATCGAAAGCAGCTGCGATAGTGAGTTTGAAAATGTCCATACGAGATTGTAACAGTTAGTAGGTATAGGTATTCTGTTAAAATTTCAGTATTTGATACAAATGAGAATTAGTAAAGGAGAAATTGTATTCTACAAAGAAATATAATATGGAAATGTGTCTCATTGATTTGTTAGTCTACATGGTTGCCGAAAAAAATAGTGTACGCAACACGTCCAAAAACAGTTTTTTTGGACTCGCAGACTTCCACTATTTGTCTACTACGTCAAAAAAACAGTATTTTCCGGACTTGTCACGTAAATTACTATTCTTGGTTTCCCAGAAATTTCTGCAACTTTGGCACCAACGCCTAACAACACCCACGCGAAATTTTCGGGTCGTCGCGATGCTCTCTCCAGTAGAAACGGTCCGGGCATCAGGACCTGTTGGTCTTTCCCCGAAAAAACGAAAAAAAAAAGGGAAAATGTTTCGATAACGTCTGTTGAAATGTGAATCGTAGAGACGGCCTTTCAAATGCAGCAAAAAAATACATATCAATTATTTCGCGAGGGAATCAAAAGTGCGTGTGATAATTTTTGGGTGGAGGGGATGATCAAGTGGTGACCTTCGCGGATTATGCAATACTGGCGGTTTTTAACTATCATTTGAATTCCGTCTGTTTGATGAAAGAATTTTTTTTCAGAACCGTTCAATCTTTTTTTGTCAATTATTTCTCATCATTTTTTTATCAATTACTTCTCATCAATTTTCGTCGATTCGTTCATTATTCAATTGTTTTCTCACACACAGGGTGCTGATATTTCACGAGGTTTTCATTATGCCCTGTGGGTGGTAATATTAGCATCAAAAGTAAATTTGAACTACATTAAAGCAAAGCTAAAAGTCTAATTTATTTTTTTCTTCAATTAACTTTTTTGTTTGATAATACATTTTATTGAAGTGCAAATGAAGAATGATTTGAGGTACAGATCTCACCTTGATCGGTATTTGACAACAGTTTTGGAACATTAGGGCATAAGTCCATATCAATCATGGTTAACACAAAATGTGCCTTTTTACTTTAACTTATAAACATCCTATCTAGTGGTCTAGCTATTAAGCTACATCTATTCCTCGAATTTTTTTTTATTTCTCATAGTAACAGTATTTCTGTGAAAAATCAAAGGGTTTTATAAAACGCTACACTTTTTGCTATGATTACAAAGCAGCCCCGAATCCCATTAATGACTTAGCCTCCATAAAGCCCAGAAATGAATCCAATTGAACATGTTTCAGATGCTCTTGGTAGGAAATAGGTACCAGTTTACATTTACACCAGCTGCTTAGTAAAGTTCTGATTGGAGAATGTCAGCAAATCGCTATCTTTGAAAACCTGATTGAGGGAATTCCAAGAGGAATCGGAAGAGTTTTGAATTGTACTCAAATCGTTTTCATTTTGTATTATTATTATTGTGATAACTGCTATGGCCGGTCAGTATTCTCAATATCTTTTGGACAATTAATACGCGGGAAATCTGAATAAGTAATATTAATTTCATGTAATATTTCAACGTATTCGCGAAAAAGATGAACTAGAACTACAAATATTGATAGAGAAATTTCAAGAATGAGAAATTCAAATTTGCATCTCTTCAAAAGTATGTCACCATGTGATGTGAATGATGTATAGAATTTTTTTGTAATCCGAGCGAGAACGCAATATGATTAGATCGACTATCCGTGACTTCGATGCATGTATTAGCTATACAAGACTCGAGAAAAATGACGCCGTCGCATATCAACATAATTAAGCCAGTCTTATGGTACGCGCGCTTCCGTGACGCGAGTTTGCCGGTCTACTCCCATCCCAGTAAATGCCTTACGGGGTTATAGAAGTTATCATTAAAAAAAATCAAAAATAGACATAAATTGAGTAATCACAGGTTGTAACAGCTGGGCCACTCCATAGATTGTTCTAAAGTCAGTGTAGAAAGGCATGTTTCGATGTACAGGGTGATTCACCACAAATGTATCCCTCTAGCTCACATATTTTCGAACCTATTTCAAAATTTGAGGAATCATCTGAAATGATTTTTCAATTCTTTTCCGCTACATCAGAAAACACAGTGTGCTCGGAACAAATGATCTACAGAGTACTAGTTTTTCAAACGGGTCACCCTGTATTTCATTGCATTTTTAAATTCTACCTAAAGTGCTGATTTCATCAATGTATCACACTTGTGGTTCTCTCTCGGGTTTTCAATACTTTTTCATCTGGTTCGAGAATAAGGCTGTCCCTTTATATGTGTCCAATTTGGCCTACCCTGTACAGGGTGATTCACCATAAATGTCCCCCCCTCTAGATCAGTTATTTTTAAACCGATTTCAAAATTTGAAATATCATCTTGAATGATTTTTGATTGAGTTTTTTTCCGCTACATCAGAAAATACAGGGTGCTCAGAACAAACGATCTACAGGGTACCATTTGATTTTTTTATATGGAACACCCTATTTTTCATTGAATTTTTAGATTCTCCCTGAAAAGCTGATTTGCTCAATGTATCACACTTGGGGTCTATCGGGAATGATTACAGAGATATAGGGTGTTCAAAATCGAGATTTTTCAGCTTTAGGATTTTTTTGAGACGAAACTATTCATCATCGGTCAAAACGGCTTTCATGTCCATATCTCAACTTTTGATTTACTATCTACTGACATTTAATAATTGGAACAGATACAGGGTGATCAGAATTCTGAATCTTGAACCACCCTGTAAATGTTCCATTCAAATCTCAATAGACAGTTAATCAAAAATTAAGATGGAAACATAGGAGCCGTTTCGACCAATAATGAATAGTTTCGAGACAAAAAAATCCTATTGAAAAATCTCGATTTTGAACACCCTATATCTCTGTTATCATTCCCGCTAGACCCCAAGTGTGATGCATTGATGAAATCAGCTCTTCAGGAAGAATCTAAAAATACAATGAAATACAGGGTGTTCCATTTGGAAAAATCGAGTAGTACTCTGTAGATCATTTGTTCCGAGCACCCTGTATTTCCTGATGAAACGGAAAGAAAAATTCTGAGAAATCATTTTAGATCATCCTTCAAATTTTTAAATCGGGTCAAAAATAAGTGAGCTAGAGGGGGGGACAATTATGGTGAATCACCCTGTACATGTACTCGATTGAGTTGAAACATCGAACTTGTGTCAGATTCCTCAGGTATTCAGCTACTCTTCGAGGAGAGTGATAATCAAATCGGAATTGCTCAAAACCTGCTGCAAATGAAATTCTCTATCAAAAACTTGCTCGACGCCACTGTGGCTCCCATGTGGTTTCCATAAATTATAACCAACGATAGTCATCCGTCATCTGAATGAAAAACCCTATTCGAAACAACAACAAAAAACACACGAAATGAATGACGTCTTCGCGAGGCGATGAGCGGCGTCGGTTTCCTGACGAAGCCGTTCACGTCGAGCGTGCGTCGGCGCCGGCGTCGCTGCGAAAAGCTGGAGCACTCGCAGCTGCAGCTGCAGCAGCAGCAGCCCGACGTGGTGCCGCAATGGGAGATGGCGGTACCGATTACGCCCCCCGCCGCCTTCAGGCCGTCCGCCCGCCCGTCATTCAAAGGTAGAGATGGACAGGACAGAGCAAGACAAGACGATTCGTTTTACAGTTATTGAATCGCCCTCTCGATCGCCCTGTAAAAGTCGACCTTCAGATCGCTCTCTGCTGTACCAGATCACTTACCGATTCATTGCTATCTACTGCTATAGCAGTAAACATTTCATGCCTGTATCAAATCAGATGATAGTTGTTGTTGCCATAGTAGTAGTAGGCAGAACGATTATTTTTATATCAGGATGATTAAATCATCGACTCTGGGAGAGGCGACCTTCAGATCGCTCTCTGCTATAGCAGACGAGCTACTGCAAAAGCAGTACCTACTGCTTTAGCACGGGCCTACTGCTATAGCAATACCATGCAATACATTTCATATTTGCCTGAATTCTTGGGAAAGTTGATGTGGGCGGTCATAACTGCTATAGCAGTAGTAGGCAAAACGAGTATGTTTATATCACCTACAGTTATTTGATCTCGTTTTATTGATGACTAAGCAAAATTAGGCGAGCTACTGCTAAAGCAGGTACCTATTTATTGCTATAGCAGGTGCCTACTGCTAATACTGCTATAGCAGTAAACATCTCATGTTTGTCTCAAATCAGGTGGTAGTTCATGTTGCTGTCTATAACTGCTATAGCAGTAGTAGGCAGGACGATTATTTTTACTACTGCTATAGCAGTAGTAGGCAGGACGATTATTTTTACATCAGGATGATGAAATCATCGACATTTATGGAACCACCCTGTGAAAGGCGACCTTTACATCGCTCTCTGCTATTTATTGCTATAACAGGTGTCTACTGCTATAGCAGTAAACATTTCATGTTTGTCTCAAATCAGGTGATAGTTGATGTTGGCTATAACTGCTATAGCAGTTATAGGCAGGACGATTATTTTTATATCAGGATCATCGACAGTTATGGAATCACCCTGTGAAAGGCGACCTTCAGCTCTCTGCTATAGCAGACGAACTACTGCGATTGCAGTACCTACTGCTTCAGCATATTTGCCTCAATTCCTGGGAAAGTTGATGTGGGCGGTCATGAATGCTATAGCAGTAGTAGGCAGAACGAGTATGTTTATATCACCTACAGTTATTTGATCGCTCGCTGCATTGGTGATTATGGAAAATAAGGCGAGCTACTGCTAAAGCAGGTACCTATTTATTGCTATAGCAGGTGCCTACTGCTATAGCAATAAACATTTCATGTCTGTCTCAAATCAGGTGATAGTTGATGTTGCCGTCTATAACTGCTATAGCAGTAGTAGGCAGGACGATTATTTTTACATCAGGATGATAAAATCATCGACATTTATGGAACCACCCTGTGAAAGGCGACCTTTACATCGCTCTCTGCTATTTATTGCTATAACAGGTGTCTACTGCTATAGCAGTAAACATTTCATGTTTGTCTCAAATCAGGTGATAGTTGATGTTGTTGGCTATAACTGCTATAGCAGTTATAGGCAGGACGATTATTTTTATATCAGGATGATAAAATCATCGACAGTTATGGAATCACCCTGTGAAAGGCGACCTTCAGATCGCTCTCTGCTATAGCAGACGAATTACTGCGATTGCAGTACCTACTGCTTCAGCAGGGGCCTACTGCTATAGCAATACATTTCATATTTGCCTCAACTCTTGGAAAAGTTGATGTGGGCGGTCATGAATGCTATAGCAGTAGTAGGCAGAACGAGTATGTTTATATCACCTACAGTTATTTGATCACTCGCTGCATTGGTGATTATGGAAAATAAGGCGAGCTACTGCTAAAGCAGGTACCTATTTATTGCTATAGCAGGTGCCTACTGCAATAAACCTTTCATGTCTGTCTCAAATCAGGTGTTAGTTGATGTTGCCGGCTATAACTGCTATAGCAGTAGTAGGCAGGACGATTATTTTTATATAGCAGTGAACATTTCAAATCTGACTCAAATCAGGGGAAAGTTGATGTGGCGGGTCATAACTGCTGTTGTTGTGGCGGGTCATAACTGCTGTTGTTGTGGCCGGTAATAACTGCTATAGCAGTAGTAGGCAGAACCATTATTTTATATATCATCTACAGTTATTTGATCACTCGATTTATTGATGATTATTGATGATGTCTTTGTATTGTACCACCTTGTAGTAGTACATTAATTTGTTTCTTTATTTGATTAACCTTGTCTATTTTGAACTGTTTTCGAGTCATCAAATACCTACTACCATTTAGTTTGTGTGTTTTATCTCCCATCTATTTTTACTCCGTTGTTCGGAATTCATGAATGAAAACAACGTAAATAATCTGGTAGATCTCCAAAAACGATCAAACAGCAACTCCCCCACTAGTGGAATTTTAATGAATTTCATCAGCGCCACACCAGAACACTCCTGAATTTCGATTCAATATATAAATATAAATGTACAGGGTCTCTATAAATGGTTGGAGCATCGTAGTGACCGATGAAATATTTTATTGATTTGCCGCTTTCCACTTATAGAGATGGAACTATAATACATTCGGTCGCTTCAATGCCTGTAAACAGCATAATGCAGAGAGCGGCACTATTTCAACGGTCACTACGATGCTACGATAATTACTAGAAACCCTGTATATAAATGTATAAACACCTTCAGGAACAAGGTCCGCCCTCTTATTCAGCATTTATAAATAGTAAATAGTGGACTATTTCCAGCGTATATACAGGGTGTATCCGTATATTTTGCTCCTACCTACAGGTTTCACTATACGAGGTGGAAAAAAACCTCAAATATGAAAGTTGTCCAAATCAGTTTTATGAATGTAACACCCTGTATCGTTTCTTCTGTTCACAAATATATACAGCGTGTGCGATTCTCACCAAATTTGGACTGATTCGAAAAACCATTATATAATCAGTTTTTCAGAGACAAACTTTAATTATCGACAGTGCCGTGCCTTTTTATTTCAATAAAATATTTTTTTCATCGAATCATACAGGGTGAGTCATGAGGAACTGTAAATACATCCACCATGAATAGAAGCGTTTGAGGGGAATACCTAACACGATCAGAAATTGTCATCTCCTCTTCGTCACTAATATATAGGGTGAATTGGGGGAAAAGGAAATTTGGCAAAAACGTCTTTGGATCATAACTTCCCAACAGCTTCTCCGATTCGTCTGATTTTTTCTTGAAATATTTCGCTACTATTATCTATTCGACTGACTCATTCAGAATCGGAAAAATCCAGGACCGTTCTTGAAATATTTCGCTAGTATTGTTCATATTAAAAAGTTCATCCTGTATATGGTTTTTGTAAACTCTGACAGGGAATTCTCAAAGTTTACAAGCAAGCATCAAAAATGAAATATTCAAATTTTTTTCATACTTTCGAATATCTTAACAAAAGATTAATATTGAGCGAACAAGAAATTTTGTCAAGAGTCATTTATTTGAACGCAACGCATACATTTCACGAATAAAAGTTAGACTTACATTTTCGATGCATTAGCTCAATTGAAATTGACATGTTCCATTATTTCTAGACTTTGATTTCGTCATTTTAGTTTTTCTTTTCCGATTCAGTGGATGAGGAGTCTATAATTGATTCAAATAGTTTTATGTTTATTTATTCTAAGTTTTATCTATTCGATTTGTTTTATTCAGTTTTTATGATCACTAAGGTATTTTCCGTACAGAATTATCTTTCCTTTTTAGTAAAGCTTTGGAAAAATTGTGAATAAATCCCAATTTCCTGTTCGACTATCTGAAATAACTCAAATTACTTATTACTCAGATTAACAGGGTTGAGTTTACCCTCCACAAAGAAATAAAATGACGAAATCCAGGCCTGAAAATAAATTGATTTGCAGTGAACTAAAGCATTGAAAATGTAAGCTTTATTTTTATTCGTGCAATGTATGCGTTGCAAAGTATTTATTTTCAAGTAAATGAATTTGTTACCAGACTTTTGTGTTTGCTCAGATTTTACCGATTTTTGAAAAATTCTGTGGAATTGTGAGGAAAATTTAGAATCTTTTATTTTTGATGCTTATTTGTGAACTTATGTGAAATTCCCTGTCACACTTTACATAATCCATATACATGATGAATTTTTTGATATAAACTATGCAAGCAAAATTTTTCAAGAACGGTCCTGAATTTTCCCGATTCTGAATAAGTCAGTCGATTAGAGGATAGTAGCAAAATATTCCATGAAAAAATCAGACGAATCGAAGAAGTTGTTGGAAAGTTATGACCAAATGATGTTTTTGCTAAATCCCCTCATTCACCCTATATAATGAATAAAAAAGAAAATTTTCAGCTTCATAGATTCATTGCCTTGGAACACTTGTTCCCTCTATTTTTTATCTTGAATTATGGAATTGCAACTAAATTGTCGAGAGGTTAACAAATGATATGATTCATCGGGGAAAGCCTGAAAATACCATGAAAACGCCAACGAAGCCATTGAACATAGATCGACCTTCTCGACAGATTTCTCGTCCATGTAATCCTATTTATTTTCATTGCTTGTAGGAATAATTTCAGTCAAGCATTCCTCGTCTGTACACAACAATGAGTGAGTGAGAGTTCACTAATAAATCGGCCCTATTTCCTAATAACTGCCTCCACTATCCGAACGACTTGTGCCTCTTTTTTTCTCGATGATTTATTTCTCCTTTGTTTTTCAGAGCCGAAGAAAGAAAAGACTGACGGAGCGGCACAAAATGGCGCTCTATCTCCCAATGGGGAGCCGCCCTCGCAGGTCTCCCAGCCGCTTCCCGGCATGGAGAATGCGGGTATGAAGCTGGAAAGGCCGAGCACGCTGGGACACGGGAAGCTCACCAGGCGGCTGCTTTGTTACCACAGCGAACATTGTAAGTTGCGAAAAAACATGTAGAGCACCCAGATAGCTCCAATTTACCCAAATGACCGCCTTGATTTCCCAAGTGATCGCCCTGATTTCCCAAGTGATCACTCTGATTTCCCAAGTGATCACTCTGATTTCCCAAGTGATCACTCTGATTTCCCAAGTGATCACCCTGATTACCCGATTGACAGCTGATTTCACAAATGACATAGTGATTCCACATACGACTCTGATTTCCCAAGTGACTTTCCAAATAATTCAATGACATCCTGATATCCCAGTTACACAACCCTGATTTCTAATAATATAACTTACCTTATTCTCCAACAAAACTGCCTAATTTTCAATAAACATCTCAATTTTATAGTTGTCCATACTAGTTATCAAATAATATTTCTGATTTTTGAAAAGCTTATCTGATTTTTTGAAGTAACAGTCTGAATCCTATTGGTTTTCCCAATATCTCAAATGATTCCTGAATCTCAAAGTAATTGCCCTGATTCTCTAACAACTAGTTGGATTTACCAACAACTGTCTTGATTTTTGGATTAGTAACTATTATGTACCCTGATTTTTCATTCACATATTCCCCAAATGTTTGTCCCGATTTCCCAGATTATCGTCCTGATTCAAAAATACCAAAAAATTAACGCAACACCAAAAAGTATCCAAAAGTTTGAGATAATTTTTCGTTGAAACTACTTGTCCGATTTTTGTTTTGAATGATAGGGATTCGCGTAAGTACTGGGTGTAACAATTATAGCGGTTTTTTTTTTTCATGAAATTTGTAATATCCTGTTAGGTGTAACACGAACATTATCAAGTTGAAATGGAAAGTACTCTTCACCCTTAACTTTTTTCAATATTCCCTTCTTGGGTGTATTCTATTATCTTTCCTATTTCTCCAGAAACACAATTTATAGCATTATTGAATTCAATTGGCATTATAAGCACGAAAGTAGCAGGCTATGGTCTGGAAAAGATTTCTTGGATTGGTCTCATGAAACTGGTGATCACAAATGGAAGTCTTGCAGCTGAAAGTGACATATCGGTGATTTCAGAACCACATAAAGTGTAAGGATTTTTGTCGATGCAAGATAATGCCAGGCGTCATGTCGCCCGAGTGTGAGAAATTATTTGTGGCAGTCTGTATCCTTACCATTGCATGGCCAGCTCGGAGCCCGGATTCAAATCCATCGAGAATTTCTGGGATACTCTTGGGACAAGATTACCAGAGGAACGCAACTTGAATACTTTGGGAAACGCACCGTAGAGACTGATGGTTCAAATTTGAAAAGACCTGGACCAACATGACAACATGACATTAGGTTTCTTATTTTGGGTATATGCCGTCTTTGTCAATAAATTATCCGTGCCTGCGGTGAAAATAATCGCATCATGTTACTCTATGAAGTGGTGCTTCTCAAGTAATCGGAAAGATAATGCAGTGAATCCAAAAAAGAAATGTTGATAAGAGATAAGAGTGAAGTGTAATTTCAATTCTAAATTGATAGTGTAACTATTACACTCTAGAGTTTTATTATAAATAACATGAAAAAAACGGAGGAAATCGCAGCACCAGGTGTGTGAAAAAGAGGTGTTTTTACGAATACAGTTCGCACACCCAAGTTCAGTAGGAAATATCATTTCATTCAAATCAAAAAACGTCCTAATCGGACAAGTAGTTTTGACGAAAAGGTTTCCTAAACCTTTGGCTTATTTTTGGTGATGCGTTAATTTCTTGGAGAAGTGTAATACCGGGTGTCCCAAGTTATCGTATACATGCAATTTCTCGCTTATTTGACAAGATAATTGAAAAATTCAAAACTGCCTTGAATGGCATTGAAGTACCTTTTTCATGACATATAAAAAAATCTTTCACATTTGACAGTTCTCTGGCAGCTATCCTCCACTTTTTATTTTCAAGTGGCACTCCCTGTATATTGTCATTGAAAAGTGTTGGAATTTTTCAACTATCTTATCAAATAAGCGAGATAACTTGGGACACCCGGTATCCTGTTCTCGGAAATATCTGTCCTGATATCTATTCTGATCTCCCGTATATAAGCCCTCAATTCCCAAATACCTGCCCTGATTACCGAGGCCTCCGAATACCCGCCATATTATTTCTACAAAACCCCTTACGTTTTCTCTCGTTGCAGTCGCCGACGGTCAAGGCAACCCTCAGCAGGGCGGCACCCCGCCGCCCCAAGACAAGCACTCACACCCCCACTCCCACCATCCCCATCTCCAGCAGCAGCAGCAGCAGCACCACTACCAGCACCACGGGCACGGGCATGCCGTGCTGCCCCCGCACGTGCCCGGCGGAGGCGGGGCGTACACGCTGTCCGAGCTGCCCGAGCCGCCCATTCCGGTGTCGGAGATCGGGCCGATTCCGCCGCCGCCGATGTTCAGTTCGCCCAGTCCGGTGCCCAACAGGTTGTCGCCGCCGCCGCCCGACAGGAGCGAGTACGACTATGACGGTCAGTATATAACATCGATTTATTGGGATACACAGGGTGTTGCTCAAAGGCATGCTAATATTCTTCGATTTTTCGATTCATTTCAAGAAGAAAACTCTATATGAACGTATGTATGTATGTATGTATGTGGAAAGAAATTCTGAATTGAGAAAAACCTAATCACGAATCTGCGATTGGGGTCTATGAAAATAACAAGTTTCCATCGTTCAAGTTTGAACCCCTTGATTGGGTGAAAGTATTGAAAAGGAACATTCTCAGATATATTTATGAACATTGGATATATATATAAAGAAATACATTGAGAACTTGCAGTCACCATGTGATGAAAATATTAATTTTTTCTCGGTTTATTCAACAGAAAACATTTACTTTCCTGGTTATATGCCATGACGAATATTGAATTACATATATTGAACACACGTAAAGAATTTGAAAACAAAATCTTCTGAAGTTCCAAGCTCATCAAGATCAGAGTTCATAAAAGTATACTTCTCCTATACATTTCAATTTTCATTTCAATACTGAACATATCAGTAAGTTATATTTTTATATCATAATACATCATATTATACTATTCGATTTGAGAGATGATGTCAATTCTCAATTTCAGGGGATTTTGATTTTTCATGCTCTCTTTTTGGATATTCAACAGATATAATTCAATGTTTGACATGGCAAATAGCCAGGAAAGTAGTTGTTTTCTACTGAATGTTATTATATTATGTGCATATCTTTATATGAAGGAGGAAGCAAATTCTCTACTTGAGAAGATTTTGTTTTCAAATTCTTATCGTGTGTTTTCAATAGATGTAATTTCTATATATCCATTTTTTGTGTTCATAAATATATCTGAGAATGTTCCTTTTCAATAGTTATTTGGACTCCAAAAAATATCATTTTGTATTTCAAATTAGTCAATTCAATTCCAAAAAGTATCAAATGTATTTCAAATTCATCAAATTATGTAGCATGTAGCAGACAAACTATCAAATCTTGTATTTATCATCCCATTTTCTATAGTAAAACTTTTGCAGAAAAACAAGCGAATATAACCTAGGAATTAAATTCGATCCAGGTTCAGCCAATCTTCGGGTTTTACCATGGCCCTAGTGGCGATAAATAAGTTGATATGCCATGCTTTGGCGACATTTCATCCCCCTCCCTCTTCTTTCCAGATAACAAGGAAGGCGTGGGCGACTACAAACTCAATGGTCAAAATGACATATCGATATCTATGCAGTAGTTTAGTTCGTATTCGGATGCATAAATGAGGTCAATAGTTCTCTTCCGAGTCTCTCTATATCAGTAGATGTACGAAGCGGCTTTGTCGGCGACAAAAATCCTTCTTCTTTCCTCTCCTCTTTCCAGATAACGATGAGGACGAAGACGACGACGACGACGACCAAGACGACTACGACCAGTTTTACCTGGCGCTGCTATCGACACATCTCAATATATTTCGATGATTTCTTCATAAATGGCAATGAATCAACAGTACTGTCGAATGACTTCGTCAGTTTTGTCCCTTTTGACCTATCCAAAACGTCCATACAGAACAAATCGAACAAAATCAAATCAACCCTGTAAATCGTGGAGTCAATAGTTCTCTTCCGAGTCTTTCGATATCAGTAGATGTACTAAGGGGCTTCGGCGACAAAAATCCTTCATTTCTCCCCTCCTTTATGACGACGACGACCAGTTCTACGTGGCGCTGCTATCGACACGTCTCATGACAAACTCAATAGTGAAAACCTCATACCGATATTTATACAGTATTGATTATTTCATTACATATTTCGATTTTTTCTTCATTAATGGCAATGAATCAACAGTACTCTCGATTGATGTCGTCTGTTTTGTCCGTTTTGACCTATCCAAAACGTCCATACAGAACTAATTAACCAAAATCAAATCAACCCTGAAAATCGTGGAGTCAATAGTTCTCTTCCGAGTCTTTCGATATCAGTAGATTGTTAGGTTGACTATTGGAACACGAATGCTTACAGTTAATATCTATTGGACCACACTCAGACAAGTATCGAATACAACTGTGTCACTTCTGCTATCTGATTCACATTCTTCAACAGTTACATTTATATAACAACCCTGATTAATATCTCATGATAAATTCGAATATCATACCATACAGGATGGTTCAAGTAAAGTGCTACTATCATAATAATACCTGGTGAACATGATAACAATACCGATAGTAATACTAATAAAATCGATTAGAAACTGAAATGGATCAATAGACAATCAGTGATCTCCTACAACGATTCAACTCTAACAAGATGTACTAAGCGGCTTCGGCGAAAAAAATCCTTCATTCCCCCCCTCCTCTTTCTAGATAACGATGAGGACGAGGACGACGAATACGACGATGACGACCAATTCTACCTGCCGCTGCCCGACCCTGCCATCGACACGTCGCGCGTCGACGAAATACCCGCCAAGGAACCGAAGTTCGGCTTGGTGCCGCTCAAATCGGCGCTGAAGAAGCGGCCGGGCAGCGGCCCGCCCACGCCGCAGGGCACGCCCACTCAGGAGGGGGGAAGGGCGGCGTTTAGTCGGGTGCAACAGGAGTACAACTCCAGTTTCAAGTGAGTATGTGGGGAGGGCAAGGGTTGTCAGCAAGGAGTCTCCAAAGATCATACACAAACTAGATAGTCAACGCCGATGTACAAATTGGCAACGCTCCGATGGGGTCTAACAGACCGGCGGCTAATCGGCTGTGCTATTCGTTGACCAAATATTATTATTCGAGTCGGTGGAATACGCGGCGTTATAATGAATAGATGCGCACAGCAGATTATCAACGCTCTGTTCGTTCCCAACTTAGCGTTGCTCATTCTTACATTTACGGTGCTTATCTAGTGTGTGTATGATCTTTGCCTTCTCGGAGATCAAGGTTCGAGTTAATGAAACATGTTCAGGAGTACAGGGAAGAACAAGAGAAAGATCAATTGATTTATTATAGAACTAATCAGAATAGTTTATGATTATTTTCTAGTTCAAACCGAAATGTTCTCTGCAATCTACAATACGTATCTGTTAACATACTTATCATTATGAACAATAAATTGATGAATAATCTAGATATCATAACACTTCCGGAGACGCTGTGTCGAACTGATTTGAAATGGTACCTGAGTTCAATGAATGAATTGAGTAATACATTATAAACATCCAATGCAATAATTTAGTTTCATTCATTATTCAATAGCGTTTTCCACTCGCCCATTTACAGAGTGCACTAGCACAGAACATGCACAAGTGGCACTGGCTTGGCTCTTGGTGCGAGTATTATTTTCTTATCGTCAGAATTGTCAATCAAAAAATTAAATTATTGATAGCAGATTGATGGTACATTTGGTTCTGCTGCTCCACATTAAAATGATTCTTCTACCTTTTGTGGTTTTTCTGTGAGCATTACCAGCAACAGTCTTCTGAATGAAGATGTTTTCTTCATTGTCAATGATCAATTTGATGTCGACAATACTGATTTAGTACACTGTATTGTCTTTTACCAAGTTAGTATTTTAATTATAATTTTTAATTATTTCTCACTCGAATATTTGAGGTTATGTGTATCCGTCGCACAAGCACAGTTCTGAAAACTCGAACTTTGAGCGAGCATCGAGTAAGTTTGATGAAAGCCAGTGGAAATAATTTCTCGACAAAAATTCGCTCTTGATATTTTCAGTGGACCACGCAAAACGCTCTCAGTACCGAAAAAGTTCGAGCTGGTGCGACGAGTGGAAAACCCTTTAAAAGCTAAAATTGAGCTATCATTCTTTGCTAAATGTCGAAACTATGCTGTATTACCGAAAAGAAAGTAGGAATTTTACAATGAGAATTCATTTTTTAGTTCCTCATTTGTAATTGGTTGTTTCTATTTCTCATCATGTTTCTTTTTGTCCATCCATACAGAAGGTCTCATCTGAGGCCTAGGATAAGAATATGGTAAATATTATTCATAATAGTTGATAGTCTAATATTGTTGCTATTTTTTATTATTTTTCTTTATGTGAATAAAAAAAATAAAGCACTGGTGATTTTTGATTTTATTCAATAATTTACTATTTTTTTAGTGCACGAACAAATATAGGTAATTTTTGTCACTTTAGGCTGTGAATCTACATACCAATACCATTTATTCAAATGACCAAACCAATTTCGATCAAACTCACATTTTTCGCAGATTATATTTTTCATAAACCTTTTTCTGAAAATAAATTTCGCTATTATATCCTGTCCTGCTTCTTCTTCTTCTCGGTTTGGATGGCCTTAGTTACCAGGAATATCTGGCCAATATCCTGTCCTATTCATGAACAGTATTATGCTTCTTCTTCTATTTTTTTCTGTGTACATGAAACATTTCTCCTTCTTTTTTATTCATCAATCCCGGATATTTTGTTTTATAACACCTTTTTATAAATTCATATGAACAATTTATGGATTTAAGTAAAGCTTTTGATAGCATATGGCACAAAGGGCTCCTACATAAACTCTTCCTTCTCAATTGTCCAACATATCTTTAGTATATCACAGGAAGCACCACAGGGTTCACCTGTAGCTCCCTTCCTGTATAATATTCACTGCCATGACATCAGTAATGCATTACCAAATAACGAAGATGCTTATCTCCTACAATTTGCCGACGATACCACCCTGATAGCACATGGCAACAATATGCAGAGAATGATGGAACAATTACAAGATATGGTTAGCAATTTGTCAGAATGGTTCTGGGAATGGAAACTAATACCCAACCCAAGAAAATTCAAATTCATCATAGTCAACCACAAAATTGTGAACAATTCATCAACCATCAACATCCTTAATGAAACCATAAACCCCCTTTGATAACAAATTGAACATCAAAAAACACCTGCAATCAACAAAGAAGAAAGTAATCGCCTAAGCTAAACATTTTCGTGGATTGACATGTCAAAATAAAGGTATTAACATCAGGACAGCTACCTTGATTTACAAGACCCCTCATCTAATATGGATTCATTTTATTCAGCACCTGTAGGAAAACAACATAAATCTAGAAGTAGCAGAAAGAAGTTGCTTAAGAATTCTCACAAGAATTCTTCATCCGTACATCCCCCTACACAACCCTTCCAATACCTTACTTCATAATTCAAAAAAAGTGGAACCAATACTTCAGCGTTTCCACTGACTCAGCAAGACATTTGCAAAATCTACCAACAACATCCCGATCATTACACTACAAATCATACCACCATCTACCAAGGATTAATCCAGCTGCAACAGGAAGACTAATATTGTATGATTATCTGTATAAATTGTTTTTTGTATCTCTCTATATTCTATTAGATTTATCATGTATATTTGGTAATTATAGTGTATTGGGTAATCCCCCAATAAAGATTGTTTCTCTTTCTTTCTCTCATATGAACATTATTGTTATATGTTTGTAAATATTTTCTTCATGCATATAGTTTTACCTGTTTTACCTAGAGTTCCTAAATGTATTTGACACTGCTGTTTTGACGTTTTTTGTGTATAAGAGTACGGACACTATGACAAGCACTGACAATCAGACATAACCACAAATGAATTGATGGAAAACGCGGGAACAGACAGTACACGGACGTACATGACATACATTTCAAAAGTTTGACAAATTGAGAGAATCAGGAGAAAGATGCAAGTTTTTGTAGTATCCAACAGAATATGATGCGGCCGGCATGGAATATAGGTTCAGGCCACAAAATTTGCGAGGTATCCAAATTGTAGGATATAGAACACTTTTCAACGCATATTTTTATCAGGTACACTTCAGAACGAAAGATTTGATGTTGAAGAATAGGATCGTATTGAGAGAAAGAGCCGAACCCACAATGTATAAATTGAGCGAGTATTGAAAAGAACCTTATTCCAATTTAGAACCAACAAGAAACGAAAAACTTGCAGATAATAGATAATGAAATTCATTTCGAACATATTTTGAGAGAAAGAGACTTGAGAATCGAATTTTTAGAGCAGGAATATTCTAAAATCCCAGGTTTAGGAGGAAGAGTGAGGAATTCAGGAAACAAATAGAAGAAAAAAATAGCAATGTAAACGGCGGTCTATAGTGAGTCGAGGCGCTGAAGTCCATTTATACCATCTTCCGTATGTCTTGGAAAACCTTCCTTATTTATCCTAACTGAAATCAGCTATTATTGTTGCTATATCATTCGTTCATTTATTAATTACTTATCACCTACCACTCTTGTACAAGTAAAATCGTTCTATACGAGATAAAAGTATGTTTCATTGGTTGAAATTTGTCAGTTTTTACCCCATTCTAAACTTTTGTGATAAAATATATATATACCTACATATAAGAGACTCATTTCATAGGAATAGTATATGTATTTCGTTGATATATAAGTACATACCAACTTGATGTCGACCTCCATTGAGGTACTTCAGCCTTATCATTCAATATTTCAAGAAGAAATAATTTTCTAATCAATTCATCGTACCCTATAACCCACTCGAGTAGACGCTATGCACTCTCATACAAAAATCAAAGACAGAGAAAGATAAATGGATGTACTCTTCCCAGGACTTGTGGAGGATGGAAGATGCGAGGATCCTTTATCTAAGCTAAATACATATTCGTGTCCTTGTCTGGCAAAACATATGATTTGCTTCAAAGTCGTTTGTGGTTATGTTTGATTGACACTGCTTGTCTAGTGTCCGTACTCTGATATACAAAAAACGTCAAAACAGCAGTGTCAAGTACATTTAGGAACTCTAGTTTTACCTACGTCCACTATAGAAAGTAGAGTCCCTGTATGTATAATTCCCTGTATATATTTGTCAGTTTTGTTGTCCCTGTATGTATAATTCTCTGTATATATTTGTCAGTTTTGTTGTAATAAGAGTACGGACACTATGACAAGCAGTGACGGAAGGCATAACCCCAAATTCTCAAAATGACTTGAACAAAGACAAGGATATGGTTTTTCATGCACTTCGGATCTTCTATCCTCTACTGCCGCGGTGAAGGGTACATCCATATATCTTTCTCTGTCTTTATTTTCATAAAGAAGTGGCTGGGTCATAGTTTGTAAATCAATTTGTTGAAAGTATTTCTCGATATACTTAACAAAGGGTATATGTACTTCAATTTATTTGATTTTAGGATGCACTAGTTCTTCAATAGATAGAGCCAGTTCTGATGGGCAGAATGTAAATGACATTTTAATTTTTAAAAACCTGAATTTTCAAATAATTTAATGTCATGTACGTTCATGAACTGTCAGTGCCCGCCAAATTGTTAATGTCATTCCAAATTTTTTAGGGTTATGCCTTCTGTCACTGCTTGTCATAGTGTCCATACTCTTATTACAGCAAAAGTGTCAAATACAACAGGGACTCTAATAGAAAGTAGGCGAGAACACACGAGATACAGTCTCAGTAAGTAGCTCTCCATCACTCATTTCTTCTTCTCCGTTTTCTCCTCAGCACCGGCAAGCCGGTCCGCTTCGGCCCGGCCACCACCATCGAGAACAAGGAGAACGCGCGACCGATGCCCATACGCGAGGACGACAGCGACTCCGATTCGGCGGACGGGCCCATCCTGTACAGGGACGACGGCAGCGGCGGGGGCGGTGGAGGGGACGACAAAACGGCGCTCAAGATGGCGCGCAAGGAGAGCCTGTCGCTCAAGCTGGCGCTGAGGCCGGACAGGCAGGAGCTGATCAACAGGTAAGGGGTTCCTTAACTTTCTGACTGCCAGCATACTAAGGCCCTCCGCACACGGGTCGATCGGCGACATGGGCGACGCGATTGCAATGACGTCACAATTTCTGCAGTCGTACGATTCAAGAGACGGGAGTGTGTGTCATCCGCATATGGGTCGACGTTTTGTGTAGTCGACTCGCGTCTGATCAACTTAGTTACTCTATTTTTTGCTACTTCAAAAAGAAATGTTTCGCTAAATATGAGCAGTTCCAATGGCGAGGAGGACATATTCATGTTTTTGTGGCACCGGCAGATCAGGAGAAAAAGAAGACAACGAAGTTTATGGGTGCATCCGTACATTGCACGAAATTTTCACACTCTACTTTTTGTTACTGCAAGTGAAATGCAAGAGAGTGACACAAAATGTCTGGCATTTTATAGAATGGCGAAGGAATCATATATTGATTTAGTGGAAACTCTTGCTCCAGTTATAAATTATATGGATTCAAATATGAGGGAATCTGTCAGCGCAGAAGAACACATACTAATAACATTGATGTAAGATTCATATATTTCAAAAAATCAAACAGTTCCTAAAGTTGAGAGTATAAATTGGAAACATAAGATTATATGTTCTAGTTACTGAAAGTAAAGAACTAAGGTAGGTAACACAAATATTCACAATGATTGAAAAATTATTGAACAACTTTCTCCATTGAGACGCAAGATTCACTCGATCAAACTGCTTCCTTGCTAATCGCGTGAGACTGAAAACGAGGAGATCTTAAATCGTACGTTTCTAGACGACCACTAAACGACCCGTGTGCGGGATCCAGATGCTTTGCTTAGGAAGTCGAGTAGAGGGGAGACCGTCGTACGATTCGAATCGCGTCGCCCATGTCGCCGATCGACCCGTGTGCGGAGGGCCTAACTTTTTGTTAGTTTATTTCGTTTTGTCAGTCGTATATGAAAACATTTTTGGACTACGGCACTGACCAAATTTCAATAATAAAAATAATTGTATAAATTACTTTACAGGAACATCTTACAAATCCAGAGCGAAAATGAAAGGCAGGAGAGCAAAGAAGCCATCGGGGCCAGGCTGATTAGGCGGTTAAGCATGCGACCAACACAGGAAGAGCTAGAGGAGAGGAATATACTGAAAAGTGAGTCATACCTACATGAATATTCATAATTATGAACTATGTATTTCACTCTCTGATTCCTGATGTCAGTAGTTTGAAAAAGAATGTGACTTATGTCAATTTCCTTGGAACCGAACCAGGCAAACCAGTTTTTTTTTAATTGACTCGGCAAGGTGAAAACTTCACAAACGATAAGATTTCCACAAAATTCTCAAACACAGGACATGTTTCGCTAACACAGTAGCTTCGTCGGGTGATATAATGGTACTGGTACTGACAAACTAGGTTAATTTTATTATGACGTCACGGTAACTTTATTATGACGCCACGGTTCACTTGTGGAGACTTGACATGGGTCATTTGGTCAGTTGCTGTGTTATTTATCTATTGGTTATTTCTCTATTTGGGTCTAGTATTCACATATTGAATAAGAAATTCATCATATGTAACAAAAATATACTATTGATATAGGAATTACCTACTTCAAGTACAAGAAAATGTTATCAACTACAGATCTTTCATACACAAATACTTCCTGTGAATAGTTATATCATCAAAAAAGGTAATTATTTTATATAAACCCCAGGTCATAATAAAAACAACAAGAGTGAGCCCAATTCAGAAGCCTTAACTACTCCATGAACTACTTGAGTGAGCTGGTTCATGTGGTTGGTTCACTATTACGTCATAGTTTGTAATACACTTCCATGAAAATTGACTGGTTAATCTGAGCCGCTTTCCAATTGAACATTTGTTACCCCTGAAATGAACAATGACAACTGTCACCCCATCTGTGATTTTAAGCCATTAAAACCATTCGGCATTCATAAATTCCCTGAAAAATGATAAAAATCGGAAGTCTAAGCACAAATCGATTTCGTGTCCTAGAGCAAAGCCCTGCGGAGGAGAAGAAGCAGCAGAAAGAGGAGAAACGCAACTTCTTGATGCGCAAGCTCAGATTCAGCTGAAGGAGAAGAATATCATCCGGTTCAACGATTACATCGAGGTGACGCAGTCCCACGACTACGACACTAATTTGATAAGAATTCATTCGAAGGAAACTTCCCCATTTTTCTTGCAAAGAAAATATATCATTCAACTTTCACGATGTTTACTACTAGCATTCCTATGAGCCAAGCGACAACTCTGTATCGTCTAAGACCGACAATTTTTGTTATTGTTGACATCTGGCAATGTTATTCACTCACCGAGCCGTGACGTTAGCCGTTATGAGTGTCAAATGTCCACCTGTTGAATGAAACTGTCACTCCATTTGTGATTTTAAACTCTTAAAAACCATTCGGCATTCACAAATTCCCTGAAAAATAATAAAAATCGGAAGCTTTTGCACAAATCGATTTCGTGTCGTAGAGCAAAGCCCTGCGGAGGAGAAGAAGCAGAAAGAGGAGAAACGCAACTTTTTGCTGCGCAAGCTCAGCTTCCGGCCCACCGTCGAGGAGCTGAAGGAGAAGAAGATCATCCGGTTCAACGATTACATCGAGGTGACGCAGGCGCATGATTACGACCGCCGGGCTGACAAGCCGTGGACGCGCTTGACGCCCAAAGACAAGGCGGCGATCAGGAAGGAGCTGAACGAGTTCAAGAGCTCGGAGATGTCGGTGCACGAGGACAGCCGCCATTTGACGAGGTCAGTGCGGAAATTTCGATTTTGAGTATGAAATAGTAATTTTCCTAACAAGCGCGGAAAGTGATTATTTCTCGCACGCGACTGCCGTTGACACGAACGACGCGATGCAGAGTTCGGGCAAGCAGTCGAGTGCGGGAAAGACACTTTCCGCATGAGTTAGGAACAACATTTTTTCTACAGGCGTTAGAAATTGATTGATTTGTTCAAATAATTATTCATGCAAATAGGAACAACTAACGAGAGAAATATATTCTCGATCTACTGATTATTAGTAATAGCTATTGTGAACTTACAGTTTGACTCTTAATGTAGGTTCATTGCGGAAGCCAGCAGCCCATAAGGTGTTTGGTCTCTATAGGTTTCAGACACGTCTAGGGAATGAGCCAAAAATACTTCTTCATTCGGTATTTCCATTTCTTTATTGTTGCACCATTCAATTCTCGGAAAAATTTTCCCGCACTAGTGTGGAAAAAATTTCACCGCTATGTTGCGGGAAAATGACACTTCCCAAACTAAATTGCGTGCGGGTATTGGGTGAATCACGCAAGCTTGTAGAAAATAGTTATTTACCTACTACCAATATGTAATGTGAAACATTACGACACTGATTTTAGTATCGTAATGAGATATCTTACCGCACTAGTGCGGTAAAGTGAAAAAATAATAATTTCAAATTTTATTTTTTCAAGATTTCATCTTGAATGTAGACATACTACTATCAGGTAATAATCTACGATTTCATATAATATTCAATATCTACAAAAATGGGACCTCATTTAAAATAAATGGTAATCGGAGAAATAAAACAAAAATTGATTATAACAATAGACATGATAGGTACTAATAATACATAAGCCAATGAAATTTTTACTGATATACCACGATCAGGGCCTTTTTTTGAACAGCACCACACTTCAAATTTCTTAAATTCGTTTTCGTCCCTATTCCGAGATTTAGCAGGTACTAAAGTTTCGATTGCTGCATTCGCCGCAATTTTTATATCGGAATCTAAACTTTCCTGATCCGAATTCATGCCGAAGAATTTTATTTTCGAATTGAAATTAACGCGTCAAAGTTGACAGTTCGCCGAATGAGTGACAGCCGAGAACAAAATAGATTCACGACAACCATACGCCCAACCCTTGCAACGCTTGCTCGTTACATATTCTTAATGAATCGTCAGTTCAAGGAATATTGAATTTTTTTTATTAAATAATTAGCTTTTTGGTAGTAGGTAAAATATTGTACTATATTCGTATCGTTAAGACATTTTCCCCAAGAGTTTGGTAACAAGTTTTTCCTAGGAGTATATTATTTATGAAAAAAAAAAAAGGTTTTTAATGAACAATATTTTATAATGATGCTACAAAATGACACATAAGACAGAATAGTTACTTGGATCATTTAGTTAGTCCTAAATATACTCATTTTCAACAATACAAAAATCGTGTGGAAAAGTAACTTCTCAACACTAGTGCGGTAAAGTTACTTTTCCGAGCGATATTTTCATGCACAGAAAAATGATGAAATTTTTTTTATCATCGATATAATAGGAAACTTATCAAAAGAACATTTAAATAACAATAACCAAAATATTATCGATGGTAAATATTGAAATTATTGAAGGTGCAATTTGTGTTTGTTGCATGCTGTAATATAGCAGATGCAGCAACATCTTGAAGAACTTTGGAAAAATGAAAATAATGCGTAAAGTTACTTTTCCGTACCCTCGTAGGAAAAATTTCTGTCGTACTCGCATGGTAAATTTCATCTCAATTTTTGTGCGGGATATCTTGAGCTAACTCCACCCCACCTTGACATATGCGAAAGCTTTGATGTTGATCGATGGGTCGAATTTTGTGACCTTGTGTACCAGTTACATGGACACCGAGAAAAATATATTGTTGTTTTTGCCTGATTTGAGTTGAATCTACACGGAAAAAGCATGCACTCATAATCTACCTTCAATGAAAAGCAATTCATTCAATGAAATTGAAACACTGATTGAATTGAAAAAGGATGAGTATAATTATTGACTGTTACTCAGTGGTAGAACTCCAGAAATAAAAACAAAACAACTATTCCATTATAATTTATTTTTATCACTAATCATATGAGTTAACAATAAGTAAGTAAGTCATATTGTAAATAATATGATATTCATGAAATAAGAAAAAACTTATGAAGAAAATGAATAAACTGAATTCATATAAAGATATTTAAATATTAGTATAATTCTTATTGCTAAGTTTATCAAAATCTGATATTTAAATTTGAGAAATAAGTAGTTATGAACAATTTTGTTGTTGAAAATATGGTGATGAAAATCATATGTAAGCATCAATAATATCTAAAGATTACTCATCAGATATGACGGTAACTTTTTTGAGGCGTTCCTCACAGTTATCAACTTCAAGTTCCAAGAAATGTTTGGAATCATGAGGGAATATGGAATATGCCTGTTGAAATAGTTTTTCACGAGTTCCACCTTGAGTCATATATTCAATGTCGAAATGTTATTCACACACTTTAGAGTTCCTGTGCAGAAAATCTACACTTTCTTCTAAATAGTTAATCTGCTCTGTTGCATTCCCTCAGCGAACATTCAACCCTTATGATAACAAAAAATCAATCAACAATTTCAGTACCTGAAAACACACAATCTGTTCCGCCTTTATGAGAAATAATTTAGATATGCATGAAAAAATCTTTTATAAATCCATGTACAGGGTGAACAACTAAGAACGGCTTTCATCAATCATTCTTCCAACTTTGATCGTTAACATCTTCCGTTAGCGAAAAGCCATCATGTTGCGGTTTTCGTTGGTCTGTTGAGGTTCAGTTTCTCATTTATCGTGTAATAATATGCATACCATTACATTTATTTCTTTTGTTTAAATCAATTCGAATCACAGTTGATAGAAATGGAAGAGGCCTTCACAAACCCCAAAATTGTCGAATTCTGTTGAACATAACTAGAATTACAGATCTTTAGAAAAAACAATCTGACGTTCCCCCACCACTTTTTCTTTAGATGGGTCAAAAAGTGTGAAACAAAAAAAACAGGAATTTATCTTGGATTATCTGCACATATTTTCAGTACACCTTGTTGCAACTAAATACGGAGAAAATTTCAATTTTCTCTTCGACTATACTTATTTTTCGTATGAAATGTCAGTACAAAAGGAGTTCAATACGAAACTCCTGTCCCAGGAATTTGTATTGATATTATTTGTTTTCCTAGATATTAATGGGTTCGTTTTTATGTGGTAACTATTTTGATTTCATGTAATACTGCACATCTTAACAATCTAACATATACATTATATTACAATAACTGAATCTTTGAGAAAATAAATCGAACAATGAAACATTCCGAAATGTTATCTCTAAAATTGAAATAATATTTATTTCACGAAAGGTCATGAAACAGGAGTAAGACAAACATTTCAATTCATAATAATGAATAAAATGTGTTATTTAAGGTTGAGATTTTTTGCAGAATACACAAAGTTAGGACTAAAGTGATTTACAAACGTAGAAAAAGAAGCATAGTAGGTGGTGCTAGTCCTCGTCTGATGAATTATTTGGTTTATAATGTGATAGCGCAGAAGAAAAAAATTCCAGCTAAATTGCAAGTTTCGGTGGTCTATTTGGACTTGGCCTAGAAAAATATCTTTGCTTACTTATTGAACATTCTGTGAGTTGAGCAAAAATAATATTTTTTGTGTAAAGAACTAATACCCGAGTGTTGTCAGCTAACCTTGCTAAAATAATGTTAATAACAATAATAATAAATGCTCTTTATTGGTTATAAGTTTCAACCAACAGGCCATCGACCGTTACCCCCGAGTATCGGGGGTAATGCATCGACTGAGGTCCTGCAGCCAGTGAATTTCGACATGCGTGGTATTTCATTAATTTGAAAGAAAAAAATTTATATGAATTTATAAATAAATCTTGAGATAAATTAAATGTCCAACAGATCTTCACTCAATGATGTATTTCTTGTATTGTTCTTTTTGGGAATTTGAAATGTGATCTCATGTCTTCTCTTGGAATTAGGTGGGGAATTATAAGCTCCATGTTGCTGGTCTTGAGGGCGAATTTTTGGGATAACTTCCTCAGTCGTTTTTGGATTGGTTCTATTCTAATTTTGTTGTACAAATATTGATTGGAGGGTAATTAATGTTATTTTTTAGAATACATGCTGCAAACTCTATACGCCTGGGAATTTACTGTCATTCCCTGCCCGTTGAACAATAGACCATTTTTTGTACTTTGATATAAATAACTGCTTATGTTTGTGATGTTTCATTCGTATTTTTTCACGTAATTCAGGATTTTTCTTAATAATTTATGATTTTATTTCCAGATTCCATAGGCCTTGACGATTGCAAGGCGAAATAGAAGAAAAGCAAATTACTGTGATGGGCGTAGTTGTAGTAATCTTTCCCATAGTCGCTTACTATTAAACAAAACAAAAAAATGACTCTACGTTAGATTATGAAAAAAGTTTGTCAGTTTATGTATCCGTTTTTGTACATAAGTGAATTTTTATTATGCAAAGTTTTTATTACTATGAATTATTGGTTATAGATAGTAATTGTAAATTTTTCTCCTTGTTCGTGTGAGGTCAACCTGTACATACATAGCGCGATGATATTTTATTATTTATAGTTAATGGAGTTCTGAAATTTTCAAATTACATCACTCGATCGCAGTTGTTGCGCTCTATCAGTGGTGATTGTTGTTAATGTACAGGGCGTTGACAATACTAGAAAGAGGCAACTGAATATGATCTTCAACTTTTTTTATTAATTCTGTCATACTAGAGAAGTATTACTATTGGAATGGTTCAACATATAGGTCAGGACTGAAGATTGTACCGGGTGACAACTAATAAAGTACCACCCCCTGTAAACCCTTTTATTTTTGACAGTAGAAAGGCCTTAAGGGGATTTTGTTGTATCTACTCACTGAATCAAAAGTATACGTTTGCTTTCTTAATCGAAGTTACAACGCTGTGGATTCACTCTAACGGGAAGGAAAAATAATATACCCCCGTAGGAGGTAAATTATATCAGTTTCAGCATGCTCATTGGTGTTGATGTATATTTTTTTGAATTTCCTTTTTGAAATTAAGTCATGATAACAGGAGTGTCACACATCGACAACCTGGAAGATTGTTGTCGATTTTTTCTGGGGTAGGCTCTCGTCCTTATCATGGACACATTGCAGCAATGCAAGGATTTGATTTCAATATGGTTTTCCGCCGCAGGAAGCGATATTGAACCTTGAACGGAAGACAAGCTGCACACGGATAATCAAGCAGCCTTTCGACAAATATGTCAGTTGATTCGAAAACGATCGATTTATTTCTACTGTCAAAAATGGAAGTGCCAAAGGATGTGGGTACCTCATATTGTTTCACCTGTTACAGTGTGATATGACTATGATCACATAGAGGTCAAAAAATTGGTACTTGAGATTATTTTTTGTTCTTTCAATTTCTAAAAATGTAGGAAAATGAAATGAATGATTAATTTCTATTATCCGATGATTGTTGCTTCACACATTCACAGATATATGAGTCTAGGTTATTTTTTTGCGAATTTGGAACATCACTTTTATCTCTTTGATTGTCATGTAACTTTTTTCTGTGATTTATTAGTCCTGTTGAATATTTATTGTTATTATTTGTGGGTCATATTTCAAGAGTTGCAGACGCCATTAATAGACTATTTTTAAGTTGTTTTGAATGTGAAAATAGTATTTCACTACCTTGTAATGTTACACTTGTCTGTTTTAAGTTATATTTTAAATGATTTTAATTCGTATTGTATGATTTAATTGTCCTTCCCAAGATGCAAGTTATCTTCAGAAACACTTTTTATTGGTTTTCCGGAATTGTAACATCAAATTCATTTCAATTTCAACTGTTTCCTATTCGTTTTAGCCGATTTTAATGTAAAATTAGCGCCTGTAAATTAAACTTATGCTATAAATTGTTACAATGCTTGTACAATAGACTTCCTCAGTGCTTACATGAATGCAATATTGCTCTAGATAAACTATACCTAAACTAATTGTAATTCATACTCAATCAATTTATACTGATTTTAATAACAAGAAGTGTCTTCCAAATAAATGAGACATTGAAAAATCTTTGCAGTTTTATTTTCAACCATCAGTTCAATAACCTGAAGGAGTATTTTTATCTGAAAATGCTGAGATGATGACCAAATTCATCTGCAGAACGCTCCCATCAATTTGATTTTGCATTCATTTCAGAGATGTGTGCATAACAAATTTGGTCCGTCAAACATCGATTTTTTTTCTAAATTTGGGACTAGAGGGATGTGCATCTATTTGATTTTGGGGTCTGAAAAAGAAACAAGGTTAACTCCTTTGAACATTTTTCACATATTTCAAGGCCTCGGAATGAGCTGAAAACTTGTATACAGAATGTTCTCGACGTGCTGAACACTAAAATGAAGTTGATTTTTTCATAACTTCATTAGTTTTCCAGATATGAACATTTTTTGAAAAACGAAAATATCGTTCAAAGTCGCAGAAATCGTCTCAACACACTCGAATTCTTCTTCTGAACACTTCCATCAACTCAATTTTGCATTCACTTTAGAGATGTAGAGTGCACAAAAAATTCAGCCCGAAAGAGGGTCAAAAGTCGTTTTTTTTTTAATCAAGGGCTAGAGGGCTGTGTTTCTACTCCGCACTAGAGCATCCCTAAAGGGTCCTGAATACCGAATTTGAAGGCCCTACGACAAAGTTGATTTTTGGGTCTGAAAAAGAAACAAGGTTAACCCCTTTGAACTTTTTTCAGATATTTCAACGCCTCAGAATGAGCTAAAAACTCGTATACAGGATGTTCTCGACGTGCTGAACACGAAAATGAAGTCGATTTTTCCATAACTTCATTAGTTTTCCAGATACAAGCATATTTTGAAAAAATCAAAAATGTTCAAAATAGCAGAAATCGTCTCAAAACACTCGAATTCGTCTGCAAAACATTTCCATCAACTCGATTTTGCATTCAATTCAGAGATGTAGAGTGCATACAAAATTCAGCCCAAAAGACGCCAAAAGTCGATATTTTTTTAAATTAAGGACTAGAGGGCTGTGCTTCTACTCCGCATTAGGGAATCCCTGAAGGGTCCTGAATACCGAATTTGAAGGCCCTACGACAAAGTTGATTTTTGGGTCTGGAAAAGAAACAAGGTTAACCCCTTTGAACTTTTTTCAAATATTTCAAGGCCTCAGAATGAGCTAAAAACTTGTATACAGAATGTTCTTGACGTGCTGAACACTAAAATGAAGTTGATTTTTCATATCTTCATTAGTTTTCCAGATATGAACATTTTTTGAAAAACAAAAATATCGTTCAAAGTCGCAGTCAACACACTCGAATTCTTCTTCTTAACACTTCCATCAACTCAATTTTGCATTCACTTTGGAGATGTAGGGATCGTTTGTGAAGTTTTTACAGATGTAGAGTGCATAAAAAATGTAGCCCGAAAGGTGGTCAGAAATAGTTTTTTTTCAACAAGGGCTAGAGGGCTGTGCTTCTACTCCGCATTAGGGCATCCCTAAAGGGTCCTGAATACCGAATTTGAAGGCCCTACGACAAAGTTGATTTTTGGGTCTGAAAAAGAAACAAGGTTAACACCTTTGAATTTTTTTCAGATATTTCAAGGCCTGAGAATGAGCTAAAAACTTGTATACAGGATGTTCTCGACGTGCTGAACACTAAAATGAAGTTGATTTTTTCATAACTTCATTAGTTTTCCAGATATGAACATTTTTTGAAAAACAAAAATATCGTTCAATGTCGCAGGAATCGTCTCTACACACTCGAAATCTTCTGAACACTTCCATCAACTCAATTTTTCATTCACTTCAGAGATGTAGAGTGCACGAAAAATTCAGCCCGAAAGAGGGTCAAAAGTCGTTTTTTTTTTTTCAATCAAGGGCTGGCTAGAGGGCTGTGTTTCTACTCCGCACTAGAGCATCCCTAAAGGGTCCTGAATACCGAATTTGAAGGCCCTACGACAAAGTTGATTTTTGGGTCTGAAAAAGAAACAAGGTTAACCCCTTTGTACTTTTTTCAGATATTTCAACGCCTCAGAATGAGCTAAAAACTTGTATACAGGATGTTCTCGACGTGCTGAACACGAAAATGAAGTCGATTTTTCCATTACTTCATTAGTTTTCCAGATACAAGCATATTTTGAAAAAATCAAAAACGTTCAAAATGACGGAAATCGTCTCAATACACTCGAATTCGTCTGCAAAACATTTCCATCAACTCGATTTTGCATTCAATTCAGAGATGTAGAGTGCATAAAAAATTCAGCCCAAAAGACGCCAAAAGTCGATATTTTTTTAAATCAAGGACTAGAGGGCTGTGCTTCTACTCCGCATTAGGGCATCCCTGAAGGGTCCTGAATACCGAATTTGAAGGCCCTACGACAAAGTTGATTTTTGGGTCTGAAAAAGAAACAAGGTTAACCCCTTTGAACTTTTTTCAGATATTTCAAGGCCTGAGAATGAGCTAAAAACTTGTATACAGGATGTTGTCGACGTGCTGAACACGAAAATGAAGTCGGTTTTTCCATAACTTTATTAGTTTTCCAGATACGAGCAT